ACTAATAAAGGAGCTGCAAACATGCATCACGGCTTTAACTGCGGTTCAGTTATTTAATTCAGTCACATTTTCTTAAAAGAGCTAACAAGAGCTAACTGCTGTATTGTGTTTTCAGGGATTAGCGTTAGCCGGCTTACCTGCAGTAATAACCTCAAACAACTCCTTTTCACTTGGTGACAAGTCTCCTTTCTTTAAAGCAGACATTTTGGCCAATATTAGCTTCAAACGAGACTATAATGGCACAAATAAACCACCGAGTTTTCAAATAACTCTACACTGTCCGTGGCTCCGACAGTATGCTGATGCTCAGGCATGAAGGCTAGCTCAGAACGAGCTGTCATCTGGAATGTACCACTGCCAACCCCTAGTAGGGAGGATATGTGTCACAGTCAAAAATACGTCAACGTTTAATCCACCGTCTGGACTTTTTGACTGTTTAGAACAATGCAACAAAAAAAATCTAAGAAATATGAGGATTAGATATAATGTCACATTTTATCATCATATGTCACAACAGTGAAGTGCAAGAGATAACCCCCCTTTAAAAAACTGATGAGTTCCACGGAAGTCTAGAAAGTTTTTTTTTTAATTGCACAGAAATGTACAACAATTATGGCAATCTCTACAAAGATTATATTTTCCCAACATGAAATAGTATCAGAACAGACTGAATTCCAACATATGGAAGATAGATAATGAACAGGAAGTACAAACAACAACAAATAAATAAATAAAAACAAAACCCCAAACAGAATCAAAGCAAACAAACAAACAAAAAAGACGTTATACCTTAGGGGTTTTCTAGCAGATCTAATTCAATAATCATATGATTTAGAACCAGAGCTTGTTTTTTGTCCATAAATTAACAGATGAGAGGAAGAGGCAGAGTTCTTTGTGAAAAGTAAAAAAGGACGGCTTTGTTTTCAGAAAACGACATTTGTGAATGAAGAATTTGCCCGTAATAATTATTACATTTAGAACATTTTCAAGCTTCTTTTCTTTTCTTAGAGAACCAAAGATAATATCATTTTTAGAAAATTCAAGTAAATTTGGAATCTTTGGGAAGATAAAATAAAATAAATGTTTATAAAATAAATGTTCTGTTGATTCAATATCCCCATCACAAAAAGAGCAAGAATTATTATCAATAGCAAAGCGACGTCTGAGAAATTCTTTGGAAGGGTAAATACCAGAAAGGATTTTGTAGTGGACCTCCTTAGCTTTGGGAGGAATGGGAAGTTTTAGGTAATTGTTTCTGATCTCTTTCTTTTGATCACCGAAGAACAGATGTGAGATGGAATTTGGATTGGATCTATAGGGGGAAAAAACCATTAGTAAATAATTCCCTAATTTGGGAGTTTTTTTAGACTGTTAGCTGTAATGTTATGCCCATTTACCAAGAGTTCAGGGAGGTCAGGGGATCTATAGTCAGGGTTTTGAAAAAGATTATATGCTGTACATAGAATGTTTTGAGGGATAGCCTTAGTAATTTTTTGAAATTCTTTGTTATTTATTATATTAGTATATTAGTGCAAAAGAAATTGTGTGAAAGGCACAGTGCTGGGCAAAGCCAGTGTTCAATGGCTCAACGACAGAATAGTCCACAGTCCAACTTGCCTTTAAACCAGTAGGAGCTCTCTTGCTGTGAAACGAGCAGGAGCTGATGGTCAGAGTAGTTCCAAGCCTTCAAGCCAGTGCATGTACGAAACCCCAGCTCCAACGGTGCCTTCCCAGTTTCCCCAGGGTTTAATTGGGGAGCCTTGCGATGGTTTAGCATGGTTAGATCAAGTTCAGTGTCGGTGTTTAATTGACACCGGGTCCCAAGTCACATACGTGAATTGGTCTGTTTGATTAGAATTCTCTTTGCATTTCACTTTATATGTATTTTGTTGATCATTAAATAATATTGTCTTAAAATCTCATGATCATATTTAGGCAAGTAGAGCTAGACGACTGGAATGAAAGTAAATACATGTAATTTCCACTGAAGAGATTGAACTATATGCAAAGTCTCCCGTCTGGATTTAGGTTTGTGACATCAGCATGCAAAGAGCTTCAGGAGAAATCTTGGCACATCCTAGCTCTTTTTCTGGAAGTCCTGAGAGACTTGCTTATTTCTTTGGCAAAGATTTAATAGGCTATTTTAGAGGTCATAAACAAGTGCTGAGGCAGAGTTTTTTGTCTAAGATGTTAAATTCTCCAACCCACTTAGATCAGCCACAGTTCAAATTAATGTTTTTTTGATGATCTTTCACAAAATAATAAGAATAAAGATACTAAAGACAGGAGACCGATGTGCGCGTTCTTTTTTACAATTACAATTTTAATTTATTATGTGTTTACTGATGTAGTGAGGTTTATGGTGTATGAACTTGTGATGCGAAAGCTTTTTAAGAAAGTCAAAATCTGTAGGCATTTTAGTTTTCAGCCACAGTCATATTAATGGCAAATATGCTAGGTTGAAATAAATTTAGAAGGATTCATCAACTTGTGGTCAAAAACACTGACTTAAAACAAATGCTGAACAGTAGGTTCAAGGTTTCATTGTCATTCAAGCGCATAAATTAATAAAATAAAATAAACATAAAAATGTGCCACAGTATACAAGAATAAAATGAGAGATAAAATAAATACAATAAATTACTTGAGTAGATGCAGTGACAAGAAAGTCTGTTCTGATTTGACCTGCTGCATTTATAATAATAATTTATTTTTGCAAAGATTTCATATATAGAGACTATGTAGTGCTACAAGTTACATACCAGCTTTCACAAATAGGTTCCAGTGGAAAGCTGTTTTATTCTGTTTTTTAAGGTAATATTAAAGGTAATCAAAGAAGAAAAAAGGGCATTGGCTTTTAAAGATTTTACATTGTAATATACATATCAGTTCACATAGTTAGGATTTACTCTTATTATTATTATTCTAAGACTCTGAGGGACTGTGAAACTGAAAATGCAGATGGTTAAATTTGACTGGGAAAGCAAACTGTAGGAAAAGATCTTGGATGTTTTAATTTCAGCTTTATCGTGCATGTGTGTGATACAGGGTGTGGGTAATGTAAAGGATGTACAGTGAACAGTGTTAAGGGTTCAAATATTGAGGAGGGATATAGGAGGAAATCCAAAATAACAACACTGGTCCGGCCGGGTTAAGTCAAACGATGATTTTAATGAACACACGTGTGAGAGATGAACACCGTATATGCAGACAGCATCAATCTCTCTCTAACAAGACACAATCAGTTGTTTTTATATCATCAGGGAAATTTATGACGCCTCCTCATGCGTCATCACATGCATAAGTTTCAAAACCACAATGACTTTTAACACAGTTTGAAAAAGCAACATCGCCTCGTCTCCATGCCAGGTGTCTTCCTGCCGCTGCCGGACGTTCGCTTATCGTCTGGAACATCAGGGACACATTCTGCAACAAACTGTTCTTTTGCAGGCACAATTTTGCAGTCACAAGCAAAATATGATTAACCTCTCACCTATAAATGAGTCTATCTACTGTGTGTGTGTGTGGGTGTATGTGTCAACCTGAAATGCACTCAGTTTCACCTCTCACCTCACCAGCTAAACCTTGTAACCTTTCCACCAGACCAGAGGCTCATCCTTATGTGTTATTGCCCAACTGAAACTATATCTGTAATATGTTGAATAAATGTTTTAATCAAGAACCTCTACTAAAAGCTTAATCAAAAGATATAAATGAATAAAAGACAATAATGAATAACCTGGTTATTCAAATAGCATCCTCCCAACAGCTCCTCAAAGTAACTTACACTTAGACTCTGCTTTAGATTCACTTTCACAAGCACGCTCTGCAAAAGCCTGCGCTCCCTGTCTACTTTGGCACAGAGTGTACTCAGAGTTAGGCCTTTCTTTTATAATGCAGTGTAATCTACATATAAACATTTAAGATTATGAAAAGCATTCCAAAGCATTTAAGATTATAGATTTAACTCAACAGTTTAAAGTGGTTATAGCTGCACCTTTAATAAAGGCTAATTGGGTGCCAATATGTTTAAACATCTGAATACAATATCAATGCTGTAGATTATGTTATTAATGCAATGATAATGATGATTACCATAAACAATAGCAGTAAAATATTTCTCTGATCTCCACAACAGCAGATTCTACACAGAACTTGCTTGGTGGGTGTTTACATGGAGACAAAATAAACTCTTATTAGATGCTTGATTGACTCCTAAGAAAAAGTTAATTCTTGGATAAATACGATAAAAATATAATCTAACTATAAGATGTTAATTAAGCTGAACATAATCAATAAATACATAAATAATAATTCTTTGTAGGCTATACTGTTTTTGAGGAAGCAAAAGTGCTGCACACTCATTTTGAACACAATTAAAAGAAAGATACTTGCTAAATTTTAAGACGAATCGTTAAAATATCATGAAAGCCAAAATTACAAATATATATTCAAATTAAGCAAAACTACAGTCCTGAACGGTATGTTATTGCAAACTTATCAGGAATTCTTATCAGCAACATGAGTTGTGTAATTGCAGAGTTCCAAACAGGAATCCTTGAACTTCTCTGTGAAGTTGGCAAACATGGATACCTGTGCGGATTATGTAAATTAGGAGAAGATGAAATGATTGACATTTCATTCTGTAATGTCAGTCCAAGTTAGGAATGTGTATATATTATATATATTACATATATATATATATATATATATATATATATATTATATATATTATATATATAAATAAAAATCCGGAAATGTTTTGCTGTTCAGACAGTGTCAAACAGATCTAATTTTGGTGCTTGTAAGATAGTTGCCTGTATTTATTAAACCTGGAAAAAGTGTCAGTTTGGATTATTTCTTTTATACTCGTAGGTTATGCTTCTACACTGCCTCTGTGCTGTTGGATTTAGCATACTGGTATATGTTTGGCAAAACATCAAATCATCAAATCAAACCAATTAATAAATAAGAAAACTGGTGTTAAGCTCTCAGCCACTTTAGGGAATCTCTTTGATGAAAACCTTTCCACTGGATTGCTTTCTCCACTTCAGACTTATGTTAGCTCCAGTTGCAGCCTTTAGCTAGAAAACAGAAAAAAAACAAGAGCTGTTTATAGGATAATTTAGATCTGACATCTTACACAAAATGTTCTAACAGAACAACAAAAAGCACATAATGTGATCTTCAGATCTTGTAGATACATCACATGTCCAAATTTTCTGTGATCAACTATTTAACTTGCCATGTTTCCAAACAACAACAGCAAGTAAATTATCATTAAAGAAGTGAGTGCTATGGTAAATGGACTGGTTCTTAGCACTTTTCTACTCTATCTGAGCACTCAAAGCGCTTTATTCAACTAATTCATTCACCCAATCACATTTTGTTAAGTGCTTAGTATCTAACATTCATACTCAGATGGATGCATTGGAGAGCAACATAGGGTTAGTCTCTTGCCCAAGGATATTTGGCATGCAGACTGGAGGAGCCTGGGATTGAACCATCTACCTTGCAGGTAGTAGCTGTTCTACCACCCGAGCTGCAGCCAAAGGACTGGACAGCATGTTTTGGCCTGGTTTAAGTAGGTCATTAATACTGTATTTTCTTATTCTCTGAGCAGACTGTAGGAGGCAAAACACTTAGAACAAAGATCTGCAAGACTTACTTGCTTCAAGATGTTCTCTTGTATGGTAGAGTTATTTAGATCCAGCCCAGAGTCTTGCAGGCTGATTCTCACTTTAATCACTTTGACTATGGTTTCTATTATAAGTGGAAAGGAACATATACGCAGAAAATTGTTCATTCATCATTTCTGTGTGTTTACTTCAGATATTTACACAGTAAAAACAACAAGAGATGCTGTAAATTAAGTACCTACCTTTGGCCTTACAGGCACAGAAGAATGGGTATTTGTTAGAACATGGCAGTTGCCCCCATTTACCAGATTCATTCTTCAACAAAGCACCGCAGCGTTCAGTTTCTTCATTCCAAATTTTCTGCTCTACTGGCCAGTATCTCAGTGAGGAGTTACTCTGGTCAGACCACTCCCAGTGGTCTTTGAATAGTCCAATCCAAACATCCATACCATTAGCTAGATTCTGAATTATCTGATGCTCTGCATCATTCCTCACACTGGTCAGGTCTGTGTGGTTGGTTCTGCAGTAGTTCTGAGCCTCACTCCAACCCATTGTTGCTGAACTGAGAATATACTGCGCAGCACCTTTTTTCTTTCCTGATAAAAAAAAAGGATAATTAAAGAAAAGCAAACAAACTTAATATACTTAATTTGTATATTGGTATATTGTAGCTGTGGTACTCTCTTACCGTCAAAGCATATAAAATATTTGGCGTAATGACAACGGTCTGAAGACAATCTCCCATTTTCATATGTACCACAGTTGTAATTTGTGTTGGAGCCCCAAGGCAAATAATTGTAGAAATCGTTACTTGGCATAGACCAGTGCCATCTCTGAGTCTGGCCTTTCCAAAGCCCAAACCACACAGCTTCATTGTATTTGTTCTCAACAAAATTAAGAATTGATTCTATCTTTTTCATGTTGTCAAAGGTGAGCATGTCAATGCAGTTCTCTCTGCAGTAGCTTTGTGCCTCATACCATGTTTTTGGATTATAGAATAAGAAGTTATGGATCTGGTAGGGATACAAAGGTAGAAAACACATCCCTGTGGAAGAAAGGTCATAATTTTACGCCAGCATAACACTTAATGCTACTTAATTCTGAAATTAAGACAACAACTAATAGTAAATTTTATCATTTGAGAAGGTGACAGGGATTTGCTGTGGGAGATACTACCCGAGGAGAAAATGATATGTCACAGGGCTTTCAGAAATACTGGGAGTTCACTGACCTGCAAGTAGAATCAGGTGTGTTTCCAAGACTGTAAAGACATTCATAAGAATAATGTAAGAACATTTATTTCCTCATATTTTAAATAATCAAGATCCTTTAAAGCAGAACCTTTACGTTCTGCCTTAAATAATATCCAAGCTTTCCTAGGGGTACACCCTGGAAAGGGTTGCCAGTCAACTATCTATCTATCAAAAAGTAATGTAAACATGACATGACATGAAAGAAGATAATGGAAGAATCTTACCTAATGTTAACTGCTTCATGATCTGTCCCAAAATTACATTTACGAGCAAATGTGTCCTAAATTTCTGCAGTTTGCACTGCAGTTGTTACTATGCTAGAACTGATTCAGTCTTTGGACCTAAATGTGATATTGACAAGGGTTTTGCATGTGGTAACCACACGTGGTTTATCAGAAAGAGGTGGTTGTGGTTGACACATTTACCTGTATGCGCAAATGATTCTTCCTCAGTATGCAAAGCCTGTGGAAATCTGGACTAAGTAATGCAAATTATTCTTCTCCATTTAAAGGAAAAGTCAATGTCAAGGCTTTAACCTGACCCTTAATATTGCCAGATATAATGGTAGTACCAATCCACAAATACCCTCTGGACACATACCTGCATGCATTGTACTTCCAAATATGGCACCATACAGAGGGAAAATAAGTTTTCCAACAGTATAAGTTTTATGGCCAAGATGAACAACAAAGAAATAAGCAAACAAAATGAATTTCCTTACTTTTTGTGCTAAGTTTATATGCTTTAGTCATTAAGCTGTCATGGTCCTGGGTGTGTTTTGTGTTTTATTTATATTTCTTGATTATTGTTATTCATGGTTTTAGTTCTTTTCAGGTTATTTCGTTGTAGTAGTTTCAGTATCTGTACCTTCCCTGTGTGACTGAGCTTCTTATTCCCAGTGGCAGCAGCAATACGCTCAGTAATCCAAATGACTCTATACTGAAATGTTGGATGTCTATCTTGAAAATAAATCCCACACTGATATTTAACAAGTAAAAAAGACAAGACGACAGTGTTCATTTCTGTTTGTCTCCACGTTGAGCCAGCCACCACACTCCCTGCTGTTGGCTGGCGCACTTGCAGTGGCTGCTTGGTGGGGCCTGGCGCTCATGGCTTGGTCAGGCCCCTCCTGAAGGGTGGGGGGCCCTTGAGCCTCTGGTCCCGGGGCTCAGTCCGCTCTGGCGCAGCTGGCAGAGCGGCACGTTGCCGCAGCTCCCTGTAGCTTTAGCGCCGCGGCTGCTGGGTGATGCCCAGTCTGAGGATCTCCTCAGGCCGTTCCAGGAGGGTGGCGTGGCTGCCCCTCCAGTGGTCCTCCTTGGGCTCTCGCACTCTGGAGGGCCTTTAGATGTCTAGGACCTGGATCTCCCTCATGCCTGCATCATGACCTGCGGGGCAGAGCTCCTCCACACCCACTATCAGATAATCACTTAACCCTTTAACCCTTTTGAATACAAGCGTGCTCACACACACAGATGTGCACACAGGTGTACACACGGGTGCTCACACACACAAACTACACCCTTTTTGGCTCCCACCTCAAAGCACACAGTGCCCTGTCAATCCACTGACCCATCTTTGAATTTCCTGAATTCCAGCCTATTCCTCCAACACCACCATTTTCAACAGGTGAGGCATGAGAATTTCTTATCAGCACAACATTAAGACCTCATGAATGGGTAAAAAGGATGGTGTGTGTGTGTGTGTGTGTCGTCCTGCTGACCAAAGGGTCGTAAACGCAGGAAGCTTAAATCAAAAAGCACAAGGATGTGTCTGTAATAAAGGACTACAGCCCCCCCACCCAGAACCTCGAGATCTGGGGAGGGGGGCAGTGGAATTCCTTTCATCAGAGTTGGCAAGCATAAAATGACAACATTTAACAATTCACTCTAACACCTTCCTTCCCTGCATCCCTGGAGCCCCTGATCCCTCGCACTCTATATATCTTCATCTGGTGTTTCTGTATAAATAAACTATTGACTTTTTATTCTGAACGCGCTGGTCTGTGTCTGAGTCCATTCCATCCCCGTGACACTACTGTAATGAAATGCATTCATTCAATGCATTCCCAACTGGTCTGTAATTTTACTTTCAGCATCTATATGGATGTTAAAATCACCCCAATTTATTTTATCTGAGCTGAGCACTAAATCGGATAAAAAAAAACAAAATGTAAAAACTGAAATCGGAGAGAGTCTCTAAGTAAGAGGTGATAAATAACAAAACTGTTTTCTCAGTTTGCTGATTATGGTGAAAAAGGCTAAGAGTCAGGCTTTTAAATTAATTAAAACTGTCTGGGTCTATGATTGATTAATATGTTGGAGTGAAAGATGCTGCAATGCCCCCTCCTCAGCCTGTGCTTTGGGGATTGTGACAGTTATTGTGAATCTGAGATTGTGACTCATTTAAACTAACATAATCATCCTGCTTTTCCAGGTTTCTGTAAACAAGGTTTGCTGGGTTGAGCAGCAGAGTTGAGTATGTGAGTGGCACCAATTAAAAACTTTGGTTGATTGATGACTGAAGGCTATAGAAACAAGACAAACTTCATATATTTTTACATTTATTCATTTAACAATCAGGCCTTCAGTAGAACTGGAATAACAATACACAGCCACGATCAGAGCAATAACAAAGAGAGTGTACAAGGTTAAAAACCTACTTAACATGTTGGTGTCTTTTAAATTGGTGTCTGTGAACTACAGAATTTGCTATGTTTTCTCTTCAAGCAATGAAATCATTAAACAACTCTGGAAGGATGGTTTGCTTTGTCCTTTCGCTTTTACTTTGCGTTTCTAATTCCAAAAAAAATTCAGGCAGCTTGGGTGTGTGTTTGTTGCAATTATGTAAATAACTTTTCCAGAGAATGTAAATTATATGAAAAAAATGTTCTGTCACATCCTGGCCGCCTGAGCCTCATTTTATTCCACAGCAGTAATCCTGAGCAACAGCCCAAAACATGCTTTGTGTTTTAAGGATGTACTGATCTGCACCTTGTTTTGTTGCTGCAAAGTAAAGTAAAATTAGCTTCACTGCCTTTTCATTTCCACAATATTAAAGGTTAAAACATTTGCTATGTAGCAGTGGGTTCGGGTTTCAGCCAAGAGTGTGGAGTATGTCCTGTAGTATTCCCCAGAATCAACGCAAGACAATTTTTATGTATTGACGAGCTATTCGACTACAGCTTATTGTTAAAAATAAAACTATTTTTAAATTGATTTTAAAATCTATCTACAGAGTTTAGGGCACAGACTAAAAAAGAATAATTACCCACATAGCAGACAGGTCTGGGCTGGATCTGGTGTCAAGCCGGCACCGCTGGCTGACTTCTGGCATGGTAAGTGGTATGTCATCCATATATGGGCCAGGCCTGGCGTAGATGACACTGTTTATGTGATGGGATGCCACATCTGGCCCGATTGTGGTTTGGCTTATGTGGGCCAGGTTCATAGAAAACAAGTCTGGCCTGGATCCGGCATCAAGCTGGCACTTCTGACTGGCCGCCGTTGTGGCAGATTGTATGTCAACCAGATGTGGGCCAGGTCTGGCAATGATGGCACTGTTTATGTTCCTATTTTACTATTTTAGTTAGAAGACCCAAATGCCATGTTGCAATGCTATACTGCTATGCTAGCCAACATTTCAAATGCAGGTTTGTGAGTGCATACTTTATGCAAAGATGAGTAAACCCTCACAAGGTTTTGGATAAAGTGTACACTCACAAACCTGCATTTGCTGTAGCTCAGGAGGTAGCGCAGATCACCTGCTGATCGGAAGGTTAGTAGTTTGATCCCTGGCTCCTCCAGTTTGCATTTCATGAGTGTGAATGTGTATGAATGAAGTTAAGGAAGCACTCAGTTTAGAGAAAGTGTGCGATTGGGTGAATTTGCCATTTTATACAGAGCACTTTGAGTAATCTGGGAGAGTAGAAAAATGGGCTATATAAAAATCAGTCCATTCACTGTCTGAATAGAGTTTAGTCGTGTTACTTTTCCACTATTATGTTCGGCACATGTTGTTATTACATGGCTTGATTAAGGTAAACAGGTTGACAGCGCAAAGAATGATGGCCCTTTGGTGGCTCAGATCAGGTTTGCCAGAGGTAATCCACACATGGGCCAGTTAATTATAATTAATTATAAAGTGGTTTAAAAACAGCTAGTGATGACCATATTGCTTAAAATTTAGGAGAGAATAAAAAACTAACAAAAATAAAATAAAATAAAACACAAAATAAATAAATATATAAATAAATGAATACACACATAATAGCTTAATAAATAATAATAACATAAAGAAATAAATGACTAAATAAATTACACATTTAGAACAAAATTATTCAAATTTAAAAGAAGAATTAAAACCAGCTCTCATACTGTGACCAAAGAAAACAAGAACTGACTTGAAAATGGACAGTAAAGAAACCTGTCTAATACTCAGTGACAGTTAATTCCACATCTTAGGTGCCTCCACAGCAAAAGCTCTGTCCCTGCTGAGCTTCCGTTGTGTTCTCGGCACATCCAGGAGCAGTTGATCAGCTGACCTGAGCGACTGGGAGGGTGAGTGCAAATGTAAGAGCTCAGAGAGGTAGAGTGGGGCAAGAGCATTTAAATACTTAAAAAACAAACAAAAGAATTTAAAAATTAACTCTAAAATAAATAGGTAGCCAGTGTAGTGAGGCGAAAACAGCAGGAAATATGATCTTAAAAACTGTGCAGTTGCATTTTTCACCAGCTGGTGACGGGACAGGGAGAACTGGGAGACACCAAAACAGAGAGAGATGCAATAATCCTGTCGCGTTGTAATAAACGCATGGATTATAATTTCAAAATCCTATTGATTCCAAAATTTTTAGAACTAATTATTGGAACTCAAATTGGCTTGGTAAGCTCAGTGACCCCTGACCTACATACACAGGTGAATCCAATAATGACAAAGAGTATTTAAGGCGGTCAATTGTAAGTTTCTCTCCTCCTTTAATTTTCTCTGAAGAGTAGCAACATGGGGGTCTATGTATATTATACACACACGCACACACACACACACACACACATATATCAAAAGGTTTCCTCCATACATATATGTCCTCCATACAGCCTGTACACACTTTGTTATAGATGTAGGAGGACTGAAAAATTAAGTTGTAATTATAAATAAAACCAAAGATATTAACTGAGTGATTTGATTTATTCAAAGATTTTTTTCAGTCCAGTGATTAACAGACTCACTTCCAGGTGACTCTGTAATTTGGCACTATACAGATAAACCTGATAAGGGGTCCTCTCATGGACAGAGTGTAATGACACACAAATAATGACATTTTACTATAACCCTTACTGGCGAAAGGCAGTTTGGAAATTTAAATGAGATTACAATTGTTGTACATTACTCTAAAATCAGTGCTATGTAAGTGACTTTATGATCACAACCTGATTTGAAACAGGATCTAACATAAACATTCTCCCCCTGGAAATAGCTCTTAGATATTAAGAGAATATGTCACATGAGATCACAGGATGGCAAAAAATGTACTTTAAAATGAGCTCATTTGGGCTCTTTTCATTGGAACACTAAAGTACCACAACAAAGAATAAGTGCACCTATATCTCTGACACTCTTAAAAATTGTGTAACACTCATGAATGCACACACATGTACAGAAAAAAGAGATAATGAGAGAGAGCTGTTGTATAACTTTCATCATCATAATGCACTTTTTCTAACACACAGTTTCTGACAAAAAAACCCAGCACCAAAACAAAAACACAAAACACCAAATGTAAGCCACAGAATATACTGCCGAATAAGACAAAAGTTAAAAAGCTTTAATTCCAAGTCATGCAAGGTGGTTGGCAAATGTCTGTAGCGTGACTTTGCTGTGACCTGTCAATATTTGGGATGTTTATAGTTATTAGAAAATGCTTTTTTAACCTTCTAGGACCTGATGTCCACATATGCCGACGTCACATTTTGTGTTGTTTAGACCACAATACTAAATTTTATTCTATAAGGGCCTGATATCCACTTATGAGGACATCATACTGTCACCTGGTGGCGACAGAAGAGTATTTCTCATTACACGTTAGATTCAAGATGGCCAACAACACACCCAGAAGTTCAGATGTCAACTACTGAGCCACACTTCAACCAGGTAAAAATCACATTTCTTGGCTGATTCTTGTTCAGATATGTACAAAAGTGTTTAATGTGTGTTATGGAAGTCAAATTTTACAAACGTTACTAAAGTTGCTAAACATGTGGTACGCGTATGTGGACAGAGGGACTTAGTCTTGTTATCTTTGTTGTGTGGACAGAGGGAGTTATGTTGCTAACAACATGTGATAATGAAATTGTATTTTTGGTTGATTTAGGTAGAAAAATAATGGGCTTGGATTTACATTATGATTGAAAAGTGCTCTATTTGGGCCCCTCCCCTTTCGACGTGTGTGTGTGAGACTTTAAGTCATCAAACTGTAAATTATAAATTGTTATTGATCCCTTTACCCCGAGTCCTAAAGTGTATATTTATTTTCTTACACTTCTTATATTTATTGTTTGTTTACTTGCACTGCTGTAACTGGAGCCTCGTCGCCTCTTCTCTCTGTATACTGGACTGTATGTAGCGGAGATGACAATAAAGTTTACTTTGACTTCAGCAGCAAGCAGGCGCACCGAGGGCTCTCGCGCTCACTTTTCGCGTATAGAATTTCGAAAAAACATCGGTGCAAATTATAAGTCTGTATCATAATGTCTGGTGTTTTTGTGTTTGTTGGTTTGGTTTTTATTTTGTTTTATTTTGCGAGTTGGTTATTAGATCCTGCTCCAGCCAGCCAGAGAATCCCCGCCCTCTCCTCCTTGTGCTGCAAGGGGCAGCATGAATTTATTTATTTATTTTGCCGATGCCGCCCCCCACCACGATGCCGTCCCGGGCAACCGTCCGTGTCGCCCGTATCAAAAACCGCTACTGATTACATGCTCCATTTTTAGGACTTTACCACACAGCCTTTCCTGGTGTGTGATGCAGTGATATGCTGTTAACTCACTGGTACAGTTCTCCTCCTGCATCTTTACTCGCATAATGCGGACTAGTCCGCTTTTTTCACTGCACAACACCGGCGCTCCATCTGTTGTAAGTCCAACGAGTTTGTTCCAGGGCAGTTTCATGTCGGTAACACTTTGACATACGTTTTAAAATCTGTCTTTTCCTGTCGTTGTCCCATGCATCGATTTAATGTTCAATATTTCCTCTCCACGGATAAAGATGGCCAGCTGTGCAATGTCTATCATGTCTATACTTTCATCCACAGCAAGACAGTATGCAATAAAGTTTTTGCTTCTTTCACACAACTGTGTTCTTAATGCTCATTTGCGATTTTGTGATCAAATCAGATTTTTCTTGTCTGGTTGTTCACACTAAAAATAAAATGTGACAGCAAACGCGCTCTAGTGTGAACAGTTCACGGCCCTCAAAGCGGCCCGCATGCGCAAAAGAAGACGTCACACACAACGCGCCCTGTTCAGACCCAGACGAAACAGTATTGTTTGACTGATGTCCCTTAATATAAAGACTTGTTTCGGACTTTACGTTTCCCAATTTTGCTTTAAGTTAAAGTTTTTGTTATTTACATATGGCCTAATAATTATCCTTATTGCTGTTTTAGAGACAGAAAGTTGCAGATTTCTATCAGAATCTGCAGATTATACAGTACAAATAAAATGTTCACGTTTCTTTAACGTTGTCTTCCCAACAGTTTAACTAATATCTACACTGGATGGCCAGGAGGCGTTCACGATGTCTTCTCCGGCACTGATAACTGGCATCTGTCTTGTGTCAGTGACATCAAAGACGGATTTATTGCGACATGACCGTTCAAACAGCAGTCGCTTTCTAAAACATCAGATATGTATCGGATTCAGTACCACATATGAAAGTGACCTAGGTCGGATTTGAAAAAATCGGATTTGTGCTGTGCAAACTGTCATACCATCATCAGATATGGGTCGCATACGGTCAGAAAAGTCAGATTTGATGCGCTTTTGCCTGCAGCGTAAACGTAGTATAAAACACTCGTCTTTATTGTGGGATTACAGACTGAACAAAGAACTAACTAAACTGGAAAGCAAATAAACTAGCAACCAGGCAGGCAAACCGAACAAACATGGTGGTATGAGGGACAACGCGACACTGACACAGAGAAACACAGGCCTTAAATACACACTGGGATAACGAGGGCATGAGACACAGAAGGGGAGCACAGCTGGGAGCAATCAGGGCTGATGAGCCAGGGGAAGCAAAACCAGAAACACTGACATGAGAGTAAAATAGGAAACACAACACACACGCAAAGACTCAGAGTCACGGGCTTAACACAGAGACATGACAGAACTAGAAACAGAGAGAACATGGGAACCAAAACCTAGCGACTAGAAATCTTAGAATAGCATACACAACCAGAATAAACAAAAACATAAGATAATATTAAATAAAACAAAACACTGAGTCAACAGACTCAGGACCATGACACCGCCAAGAAGCCATCGGGAGTGAGCGGGTACCCAGACCTGAACACCGAGAACCACCAACGCACCGACGCTTGAGGGTATCAGCCACCAGCAGGGAGTGTGCTGCCCCCCCATTCCTGGGAGGGCCTGAGTAAACATGTTCCCACGTTTGAAGTAGCAGTTTTGGAGTGAAATGTTTTGTTTTCCATGCGATGTTCAGAAATCTTTTACTTTTTTTTTACTTTGTTACAGACATACGTGTTCCTGTAACTGTTAGAAGCACTTCAAATGAGCCATATTGTTCAAAGGGGCCCAATTGTTGTTTCTCATTTTGTTTTTGTACTTAGGAAAAATGCTAACGCCAAATAACGTTTTGCACATCATTACTCAATTGTGACTTTATAGTGTTCTATCGAAATCTAAAACAAATGTCCTCATGTGGATATCATTTTTCTTGTGAACTACATCAGGTAAAAAGATAATTCTTTGTTTTTACATTCATTGGGTCCCAAATAACAAAGAGAAATTAAAAATGCATGCCATGAAGGACTTTGGATCTTAGAAAATTAAACAGCAAAGAACAAGGTTCACAACCTACTGCTATTTATTAAATTAATGCATAAAGAAAGGGGAAATTATTATTAAAAACTGTCTAATTACAATGTTCACATTGCTCTATGCTCCATATTAATCTATTCCCCTGATTCTTGTCTTTTCATCCACTTCTTCAAGGCTCCTTGGTAAAGACTGTGCCATCAGATTTTTTTCTCCACTTTAGATGAAAAACAGCAGTCGTGTTATTAGTCCTTAGCTTCTGGCTCAGCTATTGAAAAAAACCCCCACTCATATTTACATTTACTATAGCAAAGCCATGAAGGTCATCATGCAATGTATGATATACTAATAATGAACTGCTCTTCATTAACAAAGATCGGAAGATCTGTTTGACTTACTTGCTCCAGGATGTCTGCTTGCACCGAAGGATTACTTAGATCCAGCATTGAGTCTTGTGGGCTGATCCTCAGTTTAATGAAACTCAGCTTGTTCCCTACTATAAACACATGTAAACCACTCACCACTCAGGACAGCTGCCACACACCACCTAACCCACCTGGACCGCACCACCTCTCCCTCAATGCTTCCATCTCCCACCTGCACAGTAAGACGAAGATTTTCACAGCTTCCACTCTCTCCAGAACTCCTCATTGGCTACCGCTCTAACACTGCTCTCCTCTCTTCAAGTACGTACCTAATCACCAGCAGCTGCCGTTGCTTTCTTGGACCTGTCCCCTTGCTTGTCCTACGCCCCCTATATCAAGCCTTAAATCAAGTACTAACGTGAACGTCATTTTGGTGTTAGTTAATAAACCCTTGTTAAACCCTTTACTCTGCCTCCGCCTTGGGTTTCCTGCACGGTGGGTTTGATTTTTGGTGCTCGGCCTCCGGCCGTTTTGTGACAAAATATCATGTCTATGTATTTTTACAGAACAATTACACAGCAGGGCTGCTTGACAAACAATTTAATGTCATTGAAACAATTATAACAAATTTAACAAAAAAAAACCCCCAGCTGAAATATAATTAATTACAAAACAAAATATAAGGTTCAAAGTAATATTTTAAACATAAGAACAAGAGGACAAAATAGGACAATTATGAGCTTTGAAAGTGCTTGACAATCACATTCCTGGGAAAGATGAAATACTGTTTCCATTATGTTAGTAATTAAAATATATATTGAAAAACAATTTCTCAATTAGAGAATGTGATTATAGATATCTTTCTACTATTTTACAGCTTAAAATGTGCATGTCCAGCTGAAGGGTGAAAAAAGATCAACTTTTTGACAGTTAGCAACACTGACCTGACAGGAGCAGAATTAGATGCATGATCTTTGCCATAGCTGTAATTTTGTGGAAAATATTGGAGAGCTGGAGAGCCCTCGGTGTCTATCCAGGCTGGATCTGCCAGAGCAAAAACACTTGTGCTCTTTTTCTAAGTTTTTAAACAATGAACTGCGATTCCCATACGTGGTCATGCAAATGTTTCCCACCCAGAATGCAAATCAGCACTGTTTACTGGAGTTAGTCATGGCATTATAAGGAAAAACACTTTACAGTAAATCTGTTCCAAAACGATCGTGTTGTAATCCTTTAGCTTGTATAATTATATTTACAAACATTAAATTAAATTATTTCTTATTTGTAGAGTTACATCATTTTCTGCTGCCAGGGTGGAGTCTTTGTCATGGATGGAAATTCTGTGCAAATTACTTTCTAGAAATGTACTGAAGCAAAACATATCAGGTTACGGGTTTGTTGATCGTGTGTTTATTTTATTGTTTTCTCAGTTAAAAATGTTATGAATACGATTGTATAGATCGCGAAAGAAAGATCTTAATTCTGTAAATAATTTAAATTTCTCTGTAGGAAATTGTGATTCGCACATGGTAACCATTAAAAACAAAAAAATACTATATCAACTGTTTGGCTTTTTAAATTGAATTCAAAATGATCATTTTTAAAATGAAATGATTGGAAGGTGTCCCCTCATTTGTTTTTACAGACAGCGGTGCCACCTCCTGCTGGCACCATGAAGAAAAATGCAGGATTAAAGAACTTCAAAGTGCAGAACCCTTCAGGCAGTCTATCACCCTCTTCCTGTAACCACTTCCTGGATTTTGTTTCAGGGGCTCAAAGTATTTTGGTCACTGTGCAGTGACAAAAATTTCTCATGATAGTCTTTCTGGTTTAGTAATACTGTGCACGTACCCTTATCTGCTGGAAGGATGATAATGTTGTTGTCATTACTAAGTGATGTGAGAAGCGTTTTTCACACTAAAAACGCTATGTCCAGATGGACAGAATCAACTTTTGGAGATCAGATTACAGACATTTTCCAACAACCTTGTGTGGTTTGGAATGTTCAACTCTAGCCAGGGTCTCAAACTTAAATGAGCTGTGGGCCACTGCTGGCACTGGCATCTCATTGGAGGGCCACTTTAGTGGTCGAGTAGTACAAAACAAGCAAACAAGAAAGCACCCACAAATATTTCCAAAAATGTAGTGTTTTCTTTGTTTTTTTAAATTTCAAATATTGTATAACAAGACAAAACTCCAAACTGTATTTTTCTTACTCTTAACTGAAGCCTTTCATTGAACTACCAAATAAACTGGTCCTCTCTCTCTGGCCAGACACATGGCAGCACTTCTGCAATAATTATGTTCGTACGTAACAAAATAAAAATGCAGACATAAGTGTATAAATTAGTTTTTGAGGGCCACTGAAAATTATTTTCTTTACAAATAACTCTCTCACTGAACTAAGACAGCCAATCCCTCAACATGTTTGTACTCTGTGCTCACAGTGGCTTCATATTAAATCATTTTTTGCTCTTTTAGAGAACTTATTTTAACATTGCATTCAACAAACAAATCTTCCGTAACAAAAAAAGTCACTTCATGGGCCAAATTGCATTATATTTCTTCACGTCAATACACAGGCCACAAGTAGGGGTGACGTGGACCACAAGTGGCTCCCGGGCC